CGCGCGGTTTTCATTTTTTGGTGAGCAGTTTTCGGCGAGAATTATGTAAAGTCAATAAATTCATCGATCCTAGACGGGGCCAGGGTTGAAAAGCCGCGAAGCGGTTTTTCAACCCTGGTTTATAAATATAAATATTGCAATTTTGCGTTATGAAAAGTCCAAAATATCGGTTATTGGATCGATCAAAATCGTGGATTTTCGATGAGAATCCACTAAAAACGTTTTCAAAGTTGTTAATGGTTTTTCCACGTGAACCATTGTCAAATTAAAGTCAGTTATAAAATGGTGAACAAAATTTAAGTTCAAAAAGTCTCAGGGGGACTTTTATAGATGCCTACCCTAGGGCGTCCGGTCACTACCCCGAAAGTCACTACCCCGAAAGTCACTACCCCGAAAGTCACTACCCCGAAAGTCACCTTCGAAAGTCACTCCCCGAAATCACTACCCCGAAAGTCACTCCCGAAGGTCACTCCCGAAAAGTCACTACCCCGAAATCGTTTACCCCGAAAAAAGATAGTATTGTTTTTCGCCGAAAAATCCAGTTTTCATTCGGATTTCCTATAAAAAACATGCAAATTATTTCGGGGTAGTGACTTTTCGGGGTAGTGACTTTTCGGGGTAGTGACTTTTCGGGGTAGTGACTTTTCGGGGTAGTGACTTTTCGGAGTGACTTTTCGGGGTAGTGACTTTTCGGGGTAGTGACTTTACCCCCTACCCTAGGGGGGTGGGTCCCCCTGGGGATCCCCCTCTGTCCCCCTCCCAGTCCCCCTCCGTCCCCCCCAGGGGGGACCCACCCCGGGTGGGCGGCGAAGTATAGTTTAAGGCAACTTATGCTAAAGCTAAACGAATGACAAGAATTTTGATATACTTTACCGTCCCGTAACGCAAAGCGGCGCGGAAATAAAACTAGAACCGAACTAAACGAAGGCCCGATGGCCGCTAGGTTCGATGCTTTGCAAAAAGTGCTATATAACCTCCAAACTCTCCAAAAAGTTGTTGAAGCTTAAAGTCTTCAAAAAAACCGTGATTCGAGACGAAACCACCGTTCACCTCCGAGATGAGCAATAATTATAAATTCACCTCAAAAAGTGGAGCACGTGTTGGTGGGGTAACTTTTTTGTTGTCTGCCATTGGGTCCTTTTGGGCCTTTAGTGGCACGGAACTTGTGGGTGTGTGTGTGTTGGCCTCAAGGGCCGTGTTTTTCGTTAGGGGCAGCAGGGGAGGCATCACCTCCATCACTTGGCACACTTTTTCTGGCAAAAACCCATCGGTCACTTGACAAACCGGGGTCCATATTTCATGGGTTGTTTCGGTGTTGTTGGTTCCTGGTTTCAGGAATTTATCCTAATTACGTGGTACGCGTCTTCTTCATTAGATATGTTAGGTTCCTCTCCATCACACTCGCGCCCCCTAACTGGCTATCACTCTCTCTCTCACTCTCTAACCGTTTGTCTATACAGCCGATCCTCCTGTTAAATCCCGAATCCGTTTGCTTTTTGAGACAGGTAGCCTTTGAGGTAATCGACCGGTTTAGTCGCCTTTCAGGTGGTAATTTTGAACTTTCGACGAACTACGCGCGATTGCAAAAGAAAACTGAAAATTATAGATGTAATCGCGGACCGATGCTACCTTTTTCAAAAATACCAATTTTGGATTTGCGCAATCCGAATTGTCCCAGACTACACCATTACTTTGGCTTCCAAGGTAAAGTGCCAGCCATTATGGTCTTCCCTGTTTTTCTGTAGATATAGCTTTCTCTCTCACGCTCTCTCTTTCCCTCTTTCTCTCTTTCCCCAAATAGTCGAGTTTCGTCTACGAATCCGGGTCTCAATTCAATTTCCCAGGGAAGCCTTTCAACACACCCTAAGGTTTTTCTACGGGGCAGGCACGAGAAGGAACAAAAAACTTCCTTTGGCTTTTTCGAACTCATCAAACTCAAGTCTGGTTGGGCTGCCGATGGTTACTTGGGTCACTCAGGCTCTGATTTGGCTAATTTCTTCCGGAATGGGTGGGGAATCGATGTACAATGTACACGGTTTGCAGTTTTGCATTCTTTTTCCTTCCATATTCTTTTATTTTGATCCTTTTCGCTTTTGATGAGTTGTCTATTTTTCTACTTTTTCAGAAATGAGCCCAAATTCGTCGTCTTTAAATGGTTTATCCTTCACCCCACAACGCAACATTTTTACGGAAGATCAGGAGTTTGCGGCTTCCTTGTACAAAGTGACGGTGCCGATTCAGAATGTATTGTTATTGGTGAGTTTTCATGATAGAGTTTTGAGGACAAATTGGATTTTGCATTCCTGAAATATGGATATTTTTAGATCTCAGTAGTGGGAAACGGGTTGTTGGTGGCTGCGGCTCGTAACCTGCCAAGTCCGGTGTCTCCCTACCTCAAATTATGCGTGTCTCTTGCGGCAGCTGATCTCTGTACATCGATTAATATTTGTTTGAGTGAGTTTTGATCTAGTTTAACTGAGGTTGAAACCGAGGCGTTTTGCGGCTGAATTCAAGCTATGGAAAACCAAACATCAATAATTTCCTGGCCGAGCAAACTCGATATTTTTAGAGGGTATGACGAGTTACGTGATAATCTACCTCGGACTCCACAAAACCACCAACCTATGCACATTGGCTTTGTTTGAGGCGTTAAAGGTATAATTTTGGTCTTAACTCACCGCTTTTTACCGTCATTTGGAGCGCTCCGTGCCATTCGTTAACATGGAAATTTGCAATTTTCAGATTTCCTCGATGCTCTGCTCGAATTGGCATTTATTTATTCTAACGTTAAATCATTGGTGTGGCACCATGTGGCCGTTGAGGCATAAGGTATCATTTTGTGTCCTTCGGTCATAAATTCTTCTGTCCACATTTATCACTCTTCTCGTTTTATTTTATTTTTAAATTTTCTGGGCTCAAAAAAGTTGGCTTTCAGATATGGGTAACAAATGGGCGGATGCGATACGTATTGGTGGGATTATGGGTGCTGCCACATGCTTACGTTTTTGCTTGGTAAGCTAATAAAACCTCGACGATTCAAAAAAAAACAGCTAACAAGCATCGTAAAACCTAAAAAAACGTGTTTGCCAGGTATTAGTGAAACAAACAAAACGTTTTTACAGGTTTTGGGCACTGCCCGATGGTGGTTTCCGGGACCCGACCTGCTCAATGAAGTTCTACTTTTCATTCCCGTTCCGCGCTACGACATTTCCACTATTTTTCCTGCCGATTTTGGCTACTGTGGTGAGTTTTTGCAAAATAGCTGTTCACGATTTTTACCTAAAAATATTGCTCGTTAGCAATCAAATTGCCAAAAAAAAACGAGCACGGGGACAAAGTAGCTGGATCGTACCATTTCTACCTGCTTATCGTACTTTTTCATTTTAAGCACCACCCCAAATGAAATCAGCTCTTTGACCTACTTGCTAACTAAATAACAAATTCTATAGCACATTCAATAATTTGAAATTTGCTGGGCATTCCGACTAGCCTTATTTAGCCTGCCTTGGACGAGGGTCGAAAACTGCCGTACTAGATTCGTTTTGACTGGTTTAAATTATTTTAGCAAATATTCATCTGTTCTTCCTCCTTTTCTTTCTACCATTATCGTATTATTACGCTTTTCTTTTGATTAGAAAATAAGGTTGCTTCCCGTCCCACCCCCTTTCCCACTCGCCCCGCACCTGGTCCTCTCCGTTTCCTTATCCCCCCACCCTCTACCCACTCTTCACCATCAGCCTGTGATGGTGCCTGGCTGGCTATGACGATAACCCATCCAATCGTTCACATCGCTACTGAACTGACCATGTTGCCTGAACGTCCTTCCTTAGATGTCCGAGCCATCGCCAGGCACACAATAAGAAATTTTGCCAATCCTACTATATATAAAAAAATAGTGTTTGTGTGTGTGTGTGTGATACTTTGCATGCAACTTCCGTCACCATGTCCGGAGGATATCTCGATAGGGGATGAATTTTATGGCACGTATGATACGTCTTTAGGTGCGTAATGGCTCTGGGATGACTGCACGCTTATCAGCTTTTACAAAATTAATTGTTTTAAATATTAAATTTCAGTTTTTGTAAAAATTTCGGACACCCTCTTTGTTAGGAAACAATTAGCATGCACCGGAAGTGGCGGTAGCCTATTTAATCAGGTAGAGAGTGTCATTTTTCATTTTTTTCTCATCTGGATTCGAGGGACTTATGCAGAAAGAAGAATATTATGGGGGAGAGACAGGGCCAGGGTTGAAAAGTCGCGAAGCGGCTTTTCAACCCTGGTTGTGGCTAATTTTCGAAAAGCCCAAGTGAGGGCTCATAAAACAAAAATAGAGAAGGATCTGTCTTTTTCACTTTTTTGTTTTATAATGAACACAATTGGAGTAATGGTCAAGTGAGGGTTATAAAACTAAACTAAATACATTTAAATTACGAAACAGCTGTTCCCTTGGTTCATGGTGTATATAAAGTATTTCAGGCAATGTACTTCAAAATCGTTCGTTGCCTAAGCGAGGCCCAGCTGAAGATGGTGAAGTCAAGTCCTAGCTGGTAAGTCTTCGCGGAAAATGAAATATAACATTTTTTTTCTTCAGCGCTGATCCTCTAACGAGGAGAAGTAGCGCAGAGGGTAATGTGAAGCGGAAAATGAGACTACTGGTGACAAGTCTGATCATCGTCTCGTCATACTGCTTCTCCTGGGGGCCGCATATGATATTTTTCGTAATGGTGAGTGGTGATACCGCATCAAATTCGGCCGATTAATCTTTTTTTCTCGTCTGCCTTTGGTAGTAATTTTTGCTAGACTTCCTCCTTAGAATTTTTTTGAACCAGAAAATCCTCATTGTTTTTTGAGGTCTGCTACCAAGACTGTCCAATCGTTGCCTACCGGGATATCCGGTTACGAACTGCGGTTGGCATCTCACTTATCGTCAACACTCTGGTCATCATAAAAATGGCGGCAAATTTGTTCATCTACACGCTCCGGATGGAGAAGTTCCGGATATGCATTGCGAGCGATTGCAAGAGTATAAAGGTAAGCTGTTCTATCGACTCCAACTTTTTCGAAATCGACTTTGTGTTATTTTTAGTTATTTTTAAGCGTATCCACCTAGCTAAGTTCAATCTTTTAAAGCGTAATTAATTATTCACTTTAGAGAATATTCCTCAAGATCTGCCGAAGCAGCATCCCACATTCTCCGCTTTGTCCACGAAGTACAAATATCACGGGAAGCTCGGTGGCTGCTGAAACGAAAGACCACACGAGCACACATTTTTGATCTATCAATATCATTACGGATAAATATTTTTATTTTTAACGTATTCTTTGATTTATCCGCGACCAATTCAAATCAGTGCAAGTAAGATCACCTAAACACACATAATCTGATGACCTTGATGAGATAAAATCAGCCCTTGCCGCAGGGGATGGCAGGCCATGACGCGTTGACCATTCTGCCCAATAACAAGCACACGATGCGCCGTTTTCTAATAACATTTGTATTCCTATTTGGGGTAGTCCATGCTATTCCACTTCTGGAATCTTCTGGAAATTTGCCGGAAGTCACCACCGATGTTCAAAAGCCAGGCCATGATTCTGCGGTCAGCCAAGGTTACCAGCCCTTTGGGTTTCGTAAGTTTTGTCATCCCACTACTCCCAGCGATTTCCAACTACAAAAAAAAAGGAATCAGAAGAGTACCGTTAAAATGTTATATCAAGATCTCATTTACGATGTCTCGGGAATTATAAAATTTTTAGGGCTTACCCCAACGCGACCGCAATACATCCGACCTTGCTGGATGAACTTGTGGGGACAATTCAGGTAAGGAATTTTTACTCCGGATCATGTTTATCGAAATTCAGAAAACCTGATAATAATGGCTTCTCCCTCCGTGATTGGCAGCCAGGAATGTGCACTCAGTTGATCATAGAGGCTGAATGGCTACAGAATGAGGTAGCGGGAAGGTAGGTTACCTTGATTTGTATTTAGGCGTCGCAGATTCTGTTTTCATAAATTTATTTAAAGAGTCTTTTCAGGCCGACCAGCCATGCAAACGCTGCCTCTGTAAGTAGCGAATATTGCTCCAAAATCAAGGACTTGGCTGCGAAAATGGGTATGAGGCTATAGACGCTTTCTAGGTAAAATTTAGGCGGCTCAAAGATCCAAGAATGGGCGACAGAAAATTGCGAATTGTTGAGAGTAGTCGCCGGGATTGATGATTGCACCGAGTTTATCGACATGGTCAACTTATGGTAATTTTCGAAACACGCGCTCTTATTAAAGGCTCTTAGCACCTCCAATTCGACTGTATTCCACGAGGAAGACTCTTGGATTGGTGCCAACTTTGTGCAAAAGATGATATCCCTGAAGAAAATAGATCCGGATCTAATGGTGTTTCTCTCAATTTCTGGACGGACTTTTGGAACAGCGACTTTTGAGGTATGAATTTTTATAAAACTTTTTCGGCTGCATGAATGTGCTGATTCATCTCCTTTAGGAGCTCAAAATCAACACTCGCCGTATTGAATTCACCTACGCTTGCCTCAGCTTCCTAAAAACGGCTAACCTTGACGGAGTCGCTTTGGATTGGTCGGATTCGGCTGGAGATACGAAGAATTACGCTAGTTATCTTCAGGTGGATACCATAAGCGTTCATTTTGCACCAACAATGAGAATACTAGCACGAAATAATAACTAATCACGCTATTTTTTTTAGGAATTCCAAACAGTCCTCAACGAAGCAAATTCTATAAAAATTGGATCACCGTATCAAGTGGTAGCAATTTTGCCTGGTGACAAGCAATTGCTGTTTGAAAATTATGATTTGAGACGAATATCAAGGTATCAAAATCGTTACAAAATAGAAATTAGGAATTTAGTGTCGATTTGGTGGTCCTGATGCCGTTCAATATCACCAGCATGTTGACGGATTCTGTCCAAATTTGGCATCAAGTAAGAAAGTATCAAATAAGAAATTCATTATTTTATTTTGTTAGAAAGAAGCTGCGCAATACATTGTCGAGCAAGGTATACCGAAAGGAAAGATTGTATTTGGTGTAGCAACTTTTGGCATTGGGTGGAAGATTACGGTAAGTAAAGACGAGACAAATAATTGTAATAACGTCATAGGATTGTGGTGACATTGACGGTATCATTGCGGAAGATGTATCTTCGACAATTCCTGCGTTTCAAGAAGTACGTTTTTGGGTCCTTGATGCCATTAAAAGACCAAAAACCGACTAGATTTTACAAATTCCGGGATTACTAGCCGAAAATCAGTTAAAGAACCAATCAGTCGTAATTTTTAGATTTGCCAAATCCGCGAGAAAAACAACGAGACGAATTGGAGCCGAGATTTCAGCTCAGAGTTCTCTACGCCGTTTTTTACCGAAAACAGGCTGAGGCAATTTTTTACGGACGAGGCCGTGATCGTACAAATGGTAGGCACTGGCTCAATTCCTTTTATATCAAAAAACTGGACCCGGCTCAGATTTTCCAAGACGGTAACACTTTTTCCAGTGACCCAGATTCCACCGTTTTCTATTTGCTACGATCTCCAAAAGATAAAACAAAAATTTTCGCTTTTTCATTCCTGCTAAATTTCAGATCTCCTACATCAAACAAGAAGGTTATGGAGGCCTGATGATGCTGCAGCCACAGCTTGATGACGTCGCGGGGAAATGTGCTGGGCATGGGGGACAGCCATTCCCATTGATCAGCATTGTGGCCTGGGAGTTGGGAGGCGTCAAGCTCGCGAAGGTTTGTCGTCAGGCTGTCAATGCGTCGATGTGTCGATGCACTAATAGACGGATAGGGGCCAGAGACTGGCAAGCACGCATTATCGATTTTTAGCAGAAGCTACTTAGCCAAATATGCCATTATTAAAAAATTGCAGCTTTAAAAAGTTCCCTAAAGTTTCGAACCTGAAAAATACAAGTTATTTTAAAGCTTTCGAATTTTTAAGGCGTTTTCGACCCTAATTATGCGTCCAAAAATGGATTGGTTTAAATTTATTTTGATAAAATCAGGAAATGTTTAAAGTTAAAGTAAGTTTATCCGGTTACGTCTGACTTTTACTGATGTAACAGGCTACACTCTTTATTACAGTCACACAACACAAATCGACAAATGGGGGGTTCAAATGATTTTATTTAGGGAGAAGAAGCGGGAGGGATGGCCCCGGAATAGCGTGTTTAGCCGATCAGACGGAGAGCCTTCGTTTCGACTACGTTGTCGCCGTCATCGTCTCCAGAATCCATCCCCGAATCCGTGCCCGAACCCTCAACCTAAACCGTTTTCACGTCAAATATAAAATGCTTACTTCGTCACTATTCGATTTCTTGTGCTTCTTGTGGCTTTTGTGGCTCTTGTCGTCCCGTCGTCGGTCGCTAAAAATAAATTATTTAATAACGTAATCGTTTCAAACAAGCTTTCAAGGTACGGAGAAGGCTTTGTTACGCCTTTGTTGGCTATGGACCAGCTATGGATTTTAGCAGTGCCGCCACACGCAACGCGTAAATGCTACGACCACTACGTCCTGTCCGATCCCACCGAAACGCGCTATACGCAACGCAGCTACTGCCACGCGCGACGCACCAGCTATAATACGCAAAGCTCCTATACGCAACACGCCTACTGCTATGCGCAAAATATGCACCGCCACACCTTACGCGAACGGCGCTTATCCGCTTTGCTAACCCGCGGCCCTTCGCGTCACGAATTTTGCTTGCAACAAACTCAGAAAGATTCGTGACCGTAAAATCTATAGCCCTGCATTCCCGCCTCTTGAATCCGCCAAATTTCCAACCTTCTCTTGGTGGCCGGGAAGAACTTGAAAATCGAGTCGGTCAACTGTCCTGGCCGCTTGTCGAGAACATCCTCGACCTCGACACGATTTCGATGTCGGCCGTCGAAGAACGGGTTGGATTTGATCTCCTTGGGGATTCCTGAATCGATTAGGCAAATTAAAGTACGTCCCTATGCTACTTACGGCCCTCAAAAGCGTCCTCGGTATAGGTTGGTACTCGGATCTCGCGGTGCTCATGTCTTCTGTGATGGTGGTGTTGACGGCGATGGTGGCGAGTCTGAAAAAAACACTTATTTTTTAATATTTCAACAATAAGTTTCCTCAAAATATGTACCTTGACGAAGAAAGGTCCAAACATCACTGATTCGCCCACTGGATGGCGATTGGTTCTGAAGTTGTCGAGGACGATCTGAAAAATAGCTTTAAGTACGTTTACCTATACGAACAAGCCAGAGAGAGAGAGAGCAAGAGTGAGAAATAGAGAGAGAGAGAGCGAGAGAAAGAGAAAGTGGAGAATAAGAGAGAGCGAGAGGGAGAGAGAGGGAACGAGCTAGAGAGCGAGATAGAGAGAGAACCAGACTCACATCGTCCTCCTCACGGCTCTCGAACGGTCCGCTCTGGTCAAAGCCGGGGTACGGGAAATGGGGGTGTCCCTGGTGGTGATGACGGTGATGGTGATGAGGTCGGTCGTACCGAATTCGGTGAGGGTTGAAGATGTACCTAGATGTTTTAAGTTTTCATATCACCAGTGAAAGTCTGAATCTGGTCTTCAGATCTCAAAAGCAGGGAAAGCGGAAGCACTTTGAAAGACCTACTCGATGACCTCATCTCTCGGCGGGGGTCTGAATTTCGGGAACCTGGCGGCGTTATTGACGTAGAACGGGGCAGGCAAATCCTTGTTGACGCAGGTAGCGACATTTTCGAAGAGCTGGCAAGAGAGAGAAACCTGGTCGAAGGCTTGGCCCTAAAAATGGGCCGTTGATACGCTCCAAAACTATTTACGAACCTGTGGACACGTCAACTGGGCGAAGTCGACACCGTTGGTGCATTGCCAGTAGGTGTCCATGCAGTCGCCGCGGGTGTACAGTTTGCCGGCCTGGCAGCGACCACGACGTCCGACCGCTGGTGCGACCGGGGCTTGAGGGAAAACGACGGGTGGTGCTGAAGCTAGATGTGAAGCGAGAGAGAGAGAGAGAGAGAGAGATAGAGAGTGAGAGAGAGCGAGTAAGAGATGGTAGAAGCGAGAAAACGACGAATGAGTACGAGCTGAAGGAAACGCGAGAAAGCCACACGGGTACACAACTTACCAAACGACGGCTGCGGGAAGTTCAGAGGAATCAGTGGGAGTTGCGCTATAAAATGGAATTTTTACGACTTCAGTATTTTTCGAGAATCAACTTCAAAATCGAAAACTTACGAGCTTGAGCAACCGGAGCCGGGACTTGCCAATTTTGAACCGGGGTCGGGGCGGGCCACCGTTGTACGGGAACTGAAGCTTGTATTAACGGAGCTGACGAGCAAAATTGTTACCATCCTGGACTGGAAGTGGGGCGGGAACGGTCCACTGGTTCTGCTGTTGCTGCTGCTGAGGAGCGGCCTGGCTAATCGGAGCAGGGATTTCCCAATTTTGGGTGGGCTGGGCGATAGGGGCTGAAATTTCATAAGCAATGAAAGGGTTTCAGAAAAATAGTAGTTCTATCAGAAATACGTATTGAAATGTAGATCTGCTGAATCTGCTAGATCTTCGTCATACCAAAACCTTAAAGCTACGAAACCATACCGTTCTGAACCGGAAGCGGGGCCGGAACCTGCCATTGCTGCTGATCAGCTGCCGGAGCTGGTTGAACAGGGGCGGGGTTGGTCCAGGGTTGCTGCTGTTGTTGTTGCTGGTCAGCTACTGGGGCGATCGGAGCAGGGACTTCCCAGTTTTGAGGGGCAGCCGGGGCGATGGGAGCTAAAAATGTCGTGATTTCGCCCTATCCCTCTGTATCGCTTTCTCTCGCTCACTCTCTCTCCTCTCCCCCTCTCTCTATCTCGCTCTCTAACACTCACCGCTCTGTTCCGGAAGTGGAGCCGGAGCCTGCCATTGTTGCTGATCAGCTGGCGGGGCCGGAGCGGCAGCTGGCTGCTGCTGCTGCTGCCAGTTTTGGGCGGGGAGACTCGTCCAAGTTGGCGGGACTTGCGGAGCCACAGGAGCTGAAATGCATGATAAAGTTTTCTAGTAGGCACGACAAACCATCCTGGGCCTGGATCGGGGTGGGAACGGTCCAGATTTCCTGTTGTTGCGGCTGAGGCTGCTGTTGCTGTTGTGGCTGCTGCGGACCGGCATTTAGATCGATTTGTTGCCATAGGACTGAATATCGTTAAATAGAGAAAACTCATGATGTTCTCACATTCCGGTGCAGCGACCATCGGCGGGGCCTGGAGCGGTTGGATGGAGATGGACGGCTGGGGTTCTGCAAAAATATAGATTTTACAGTTGGTAAGCAAAATTTTTAAGTTTTTACTACTTCTTTTACTACATGATTTTAGTGTTGCAAGTAACTGGTCGTTTTCACTAATTGCGCAAGAGAAGCGGAAGTTGCGTGCCGTAAAAGCTAAATTTTATTACGATTTTATAATGACGCGTACGCGTTGACAACTTTCGCGTAACCAGTAAGTAGACCTACGTCTCACAAACGGTCCTCCGGGTTGGAAATTCTCCTGAATCGGCTGCTCGGCTTGAAGCCGCATCGCGTCCATTCTGTGAAGTGGTTGAGCTGGTTCATCTTAAAAACACCCGTATGCCTTTTTTTCATTATTTCAACGCTTCTTCTTACTATTTGAGTCTTAATTTGAGTCTTCATAATTTTTTTTTAATGAAGAAGTATTAATAAAACCGTATTACTTCCCGAAAAAATGCGAAAACGTCGGAGCTTACTTACCAGCCCTCGGCTGCCCATTGCACGACACAACGTTCTCGATGTAGTCGCAGGCTAAAAAATTACAGGGTATTTTTCTAGACAGCGAGACCTACCGATGGTCGCCTCATTGTAGTAAAGCCCAGCCGGGCACTCGGCCGCATACGAATTCCCATTTGAGCACATGAAATATTGGTGGCTGCAGCCGAGGGAGTACGAGCCATCGGGAAGGCTAGCGCAGCCTG